AGAGAGAGAGAGAGAGAGAGAGAGAGAGAGAGAGAGCACCGCCATAAACAATGAGATAAATAAATGGGATACTGGGCAACACTACAGTAGGTCACATTAATTCTTTTCGCAATTTTGTCTCTGCTTGTCCTTTGACGGCGATTGTAATCACGTCTTTAGACTGTTCGTGACAGCTGGATTGTTAGCATAAAACCAACGTTTCTCACTTTAATTGGTCTAGGTTGAAATAGGGGGCTGATATTTATCTTCATTCTTTAATAAAAGGATCAGTCTGGGTTCCTCTAAGCAGACAGGTCGACAAACATTGCTTTAGCAAGCAAGCCTTCCACCCACGCACACTCTTCGCCAGTTGAGGAAGGAAGTAATTTTAATTTGTCGGCTAGATATCCTACATTTGCGAGGTCTTTCATTTTCTTTCTCTATCGCTCCCAATACCAGTTTGAAACATGTTTAACACATTGGGGACGCTCTGTCTGATCATTCGACAACGCGAGAAGACGCGCTATTTTGGGACATTTTAGAGGAGAAGCATGACTTCATTATTCATACGAACTTTTAAATTCTGTTTTCTTCATCCGCAATTTAAAAGGGTAGACAGCAACATGCATACATTGAAATACGCTCATTCGTGTTTCTGACTGATTTTGTGAGACGGTTCTAAATGTGCCGCAACATTGCCCATATTCTACTGATCGGACGCACACAACCATAAAGATGTAGCTGTATACGCTTGTTGTTGTTTTTTACTGGGGGGGAAAAGAAGTTTTTTTGGTGTGTTTAAAAAACCCCCAACCAATTACGCCTTTATGGCAAATAGAAAAAAGACACCTTTGGCTTAAGGTACAAGCGTGGTCCTCGAAAAAAGTACTTAAGAAAGAGAAGGTGAAAATCTATTTCATCAAGTATCGCCCTGCACACTGAGGGCGCGCCGTTAGAGGCGGCTTACGTGAATGATAGTGGTGTACGCCAAACAGGCTTCAACGGTGTATGTCCCCAGGGGACAGAAATTGTAATTTAGAATAAACAGGCTGATCAAGGAGGGAGTTATTCTAACGTCGTATGCGCCTTGAAGTAGATAATTGTTAAAACTAACCACTGTCAATGTTAAAAAGTGCCAGTATCAAGCAGGACATTGCGCTACTGCAAATATTCCACACACAAAAAATTACAAACATTCTGCAGACAGTACGCTTGCAAATGATAGGTACCATCTTTCAAGATTTGGACACGTTTCATTTCCTCACCCATTTTGCAACTTTCCAGCTGGGCAGGGCTGTGCAATGTTGCGGGATAAAACTAACGATCGATAAAACTTTTCGATTTCATTGGCATCGATAGCCTCCGATCAGTTTCTCATACATTTATCTTGGAATTTGTTAAACCCGCCTTTTCCAGACCAGCTTATAGTGCCTTTGTTACACCGCTGTACACCGGCGTCCGTGGTGTAGTGCTTCGGCATTTTGCCAATTTTATCGAGTATCTCGATCATTCTGCTACGACGTTGGGGTCCTCTCAGCTCAAGTTGGCTCTGACAGGCAAGGACGAAGCTCGCCTCCTGTATGATATAGACCCTGTGGATAAGGGTGTAAAATACCAACATTAACAACCCCCCGCCCCCCATTAGAAAAAGCCACTCACCACAGTAATGAGCTCATCGTTTGCTCTTTGTTTTGTGTTTTCGATTACAGTGAAGATGACCTCGTTTGACCCTCCAGTTTACCTTTCTGGAACTTCGACTGGGAACTAGTCAAGGCTCTTCGTCTTGTTGGTTTGGTCTTACCTGAGTTGAATGTTAAAATCCCCGATTTCATTGAGACTTAAAACAATACCAAACCATACCATATCATACACTACGGCATGTAGTTTCCAGAAAACCTCTTTAACTTAATATATTACATGTAGTTACAGGGAATGGCGGCCAAAGTTGTCAAAGAAATGTCTTGTATCAGTGAGCTATTTTTAATGTTGACACTGGCCTCCTGTTTGAATTTAATCCAGATGTTAATAGAGCAGTTTTTAACAGTAGTTACTATAGACTACACACAGATGTATTGATCGAGCAGGAAAGCAAAAACAATTGCCTCTGGCACCGAAGCCTTTCTGCGATGTTTGGATTTTGCTATCTCAACAGAATTCGCTGTCAGATAACGACCCGTATGTGAGTGCAAATGAGCTCGAACCAGATATCCCCCACTCGGAGAGCATTGAAAGGATTCGAGATGGCTAATAAATTGTGCTCTCAGTTGTGGGGATTTCTGGATCTTACATCTTGTTTAGATCTGGTGTTGCTTTCAGGGGAAATAAAACTAAGCCGATATTTCGATTATGAACTGCAAAGGTGTGCAAACATTTTCATCTCCTCGACGTTTAGCCACTCATCGATCAGAGGATTGCTCCCCCCACTAGGATGGTGAATTATGCCACCTATATTTGTGCGTACTGGGATGGAGAGAATGTTTCGTCTACCGGCTTCTCCCTGAAATAAACAACACTGAAATGATGGCATAAACCTAGGAACTCCAACACTGCAACAGCGGCAGCAGCAAGTGCAACACCAGCCTATCAATCACATTTTATCCAGCCCTTTCTGGCCCTGATTAATCTTTTCCTCGGGTCCTCGTTACACGCTTTGTCTGTCATTCTGTTCCCGCATTATTTTCTTCTAAATCTGTTTTGTTCAACTCCATAGCACTCACCTTCCTTTTCTCTCCAATAAATCTCCTTTCACCCCCCCCCCCAAAAAAAAAAACAACAACAACCGACCCCACCCTTTCGCATTTTGTTCATGAACGGCATTAAAACCTTTCTCCTTTTTCCTGTCCTCTTTGTATCGTCTTGATACCCTCATTCCACACTCAGAGAACGTCTCATCTCGTAAAATCGGCTTGAACAAAACAAGAATACGAAGACAGGAGGGAACGCTCAAGGAAAAAGAAATGAAGAAGTATCGTTCAATGCTCGTAAACACAGATTTAAGGGGGCCCAATTTTTAGCCCTCCAAAGCCCTGCGAGAGAGCTCTTTTGAGGCTTTCGGAGGGCGTGCGTGTGAGCAGCCGGAGCCGTGTGTTCATCAAACAGCTCGCTCCAGGGACTTTCTTTTGCGTCTGTCCCCCGTGGCAAAAACATGACAACTCCAGCAGTGAACGGGGGCCCCAAAGAGATCTCCGCCTCGGGTTTACAGAAGCGATCCGTGGAGAGATGCAACTTAACTAGTCCGTCCCGTTTGGCGTAATTGGGCTAAGGAATAACGGAAATCTATAACGTTTCTCAAACGTCTCTGAGATACTCAGAACTGTGTTGATTTCGTGGCCACCTTTGTGACGTATTTACTAGACTGTTTTTGTTGTTGTCAGCTGTACAAATATAATTCAATTTCGTTTCATTTTCTCCTCGATATAGAGTACGTTTATGGACATCTATTTCGCCACAAAGTCGACCTTTTTATGTACACTTTCCTTTCATTTCGTTGCCTATAACTATTTTATCTGAACGTCAAAAGGCTGAGATGAGATATTCATGCTGAGTTCCATAGATAAAATCTATCAAGATGTTCTTTCATCTTTTAAGTATTCTATTACTTGGCTCCTTCAATATTTCTTAACATTTCTTAAAAGGGGAGGGGTAAATGATATCAGTTACGTAATTCTTATTCTTAGAAAAATAAACCCTCATTTTTTAACAAGATCACCAAAAACAACTTTAAAACTCACACAAAAAAACAAACCAGAAAAAAACCAAAGCAAAAGAAAGCATGCAAGCGATATAACACACAGTCTAAATAAATGTACTATCTGGACAAGCACACTCACCACCAGGCGGTCTGACTA